GGTAATGATGTCCTTACTGAAGAAATAAAATATTCATTAAATAAGTTAGCAATTTTTTCATGATCAGAAACAAGAAGTCCATTTACTGAGATTTGTGAATTGTTATTAAATGTTTTATTGTTACTTTCACCTGTCACTGACTTGATCATTTCCCATAATATTTTTGGATTCTTACTGGCTGAAATAATTTGATTTTTAAAATATGTTAGATAACATACGTTCAGAACGCTACATAAAACATACTGTGGAACAGGTCATTTATATTTCTATAAGAATAATTTGTTATAAAACATTTTTTCACTATATTAACAGAAATTGGACTTGACTTGGAACAAGATCTAAAGAGTTTGACACCCCTGAGTTAAATTGTTGCATTACTATTTTAAAGTCTTGTGAAAGACGTTTGGACTGGACTGGCACGATTTAAGCTGCAGGGCTCAAAGGTGAAATTCTTGTTACCTTTGTTCTCAAACAAACTTTCTTTTCATCTAAATTTCTCAGTTGATTTTTTCTCATGTCAATATATCGTTTTGAACTAATTCATTTACATCATATAATTTAATTGAATAATATTCAACATGACTGCATTTTTACTGTAAATCTATTTTTCCCCTCAAATAGATGTGTAGATATTGTGTAAAACAAGATGAAATCTCCTTTTGTCTTTAATGATTGATGAAAATGTCAACACGAGTCACAATTGCAGTCCAAGTTCAGACTGTCCTTTTTATTCATAGCAATACTGACCATGCAGGGGGGTTCTATCCTTTGGATATTTTGGATATGAACACATTTTTTGTTTGAAACTCACTAAATATTTGGCCATACTTGGTGGATTTGAAAAGTAAGAAAAGATAACTTAAAATTATCCTTAGGAAAAGAAACAAATTAATAGAAAAACTGCTAAAATGGGTTAATTATAAAAAGAAAATGTGTTGGTTTAGATACAACTCAATGACACGAGCTATAGATGTTTTAGAAGATAAGAAAGAACATGTTTGTTTTTATTAATTTTGTTATTTTTACAGACTCTTGCCTGAATAGAGGACACAATGAGTTCCCTTTTGGAGGAAAAGCTACATTTTGCACTACTTTTCATAACAGGTGAGCTTATAAACTTTTTTATACTCCAAAATACAAAATAGTCAAAGACTCTAAAAAATATTAAACAGGAGGCAAAAAGTGAGATTGTGAATAATTTTATTCTTTTTTTAACAGTTAAATTGATCTAGAAAGCTTGACTCTGTGATACGAATGAATTTGCTCTGTTACGTAGCTTTTATAATTTTTTGGTGACAAATAACAAGGCTATTACCGTACAAATATTTGCAATATTTGACTATAGATCTGTGCTTTAGGTTTGATGAGTCTACCGCTGCTTACAGGTATTTAAAACCCATTTATAGTTAACTGAAAACATGCAGATTCACCCCTTTTTTAAGAGGCTCTCTTCTCATTGTGCTCAAAGAGATACACCTTCTGAACTGTCAAGTTTTCTTCCCAGAATGTGACAAAATTCGACTGGTTGGGCCTTCACGTTGCTCCGGCAGAGTGGAAATCTTTCATGAAAACAGCTGGGGAACCGTGTGCGACGATCACTGGAGCATCACTAATGCTAACGTGCTGTGTCGAGAGTTAAACTGTGGCACAGTCATGGAGGCTAAGAAGAATGCATTTTTTGGAGAGGGTAAAGAGGAGATCTGGTTGGATGATGTGCAGTGTACTGGGAGTGAGACTTCCATCCTTAAATGCCCACACAAAAGACTGGGGGAACACAACTGTGGTCACAGTGAAGATGCTGGAGTTGTCTGCTCTGGTAAGCCAGACATCTCTCTCTATATATGCTTTCCTCCACACAAAAGATCAAAATACCCTCCTAATTCCTTAAAACGTGTTGAAAGTACTACTTGCCTTTTTTGGACATTTCCTCAACAGCAAAAATCATATTTCCTTCTCCTGAACCAATTTATATTGTCTTTTCAGCACATTTCATTATCATCTAGTCTGAACTCCACCCACCCTCCACCCCCCTTAAAATACTTTTCTATATAATTGGCTGTGGAGAGACCCTAGATTGACCCAATTGGTCAAAAGAGGAGGGCCTAAGCAACCATTTTGACATCCATCCATCCAACCATTATCTTTACCCACTTGGTCTTTCAGGGATCACTGATGCCCATGTTCAGTCACTGCGTGAAGGGAAGAGTACACCCTAGAGCGGTCGCACGTTCATCACAGGGTGACAAATATGACAAATAACCATTCACGGTCTCAGTCATACCTATTGCGATTTAGAGTTACCAATTAGCCTAAAATGTTTTTTTTGGTCTGAGTGAATAAACCGGGTTTCCAGAGAAAACCCACACATGCACAGAGGGTACATGCAAAATCTACCCAGAAATCTTCCAGGGATTTGATCCTGCAACTTTCTTGCTGAGAGGCAATGGCTCTACTCACCATGCCACCCATTTGACACCCATGTATTTAAATTAGATACAAATGTGAGATAACTAGAATCTTATTTTCTGGCTCTTTTGCACCTTATAAAACACAATAATATGTCTATACCAAAAACATTTTTTTCTATCTATACGTTTTACCTTTACACCACAGTTCATCTAATTACAAAGAATGATTTATTGCTTATTAATAAGTGATACCAAAATCCCACTAAAGGGATCCTGAATACATACTACCAGGGGTTGTACCATAGTTTGAGAACTATGGTCCTAATTCATTCTGTGATTTTATTTATGCACACCCTTTTTTATTCTCATAGTTATCATTATTCATGAAGATTGGTGTCTCTGCACTTCACTTTTTTCTCGTTTGTGTTAGACCATGTGCGGGTTATCAATGGAAGCAATCGTTGCGTTGGCAGAGTGGAAGTCTTCCACGGAGGCCAGTGGAAACGAGTGTGCAGCAGTGACTGGGGCAAGGAAGCAGCAGAGGTGGTGTGCCGTGAGATTAGCTGTGGGTCTCCCGTTGTACACACGGAAGTGCAGTATTTTGGAGAGGGTCAAACCCTGTCAGGACTCAAAACTACCTGTGTTGGGAATGAGACCTCTATCTCAGAGTGCCAGCTACAAGATTTCAAGGAAAGCTGTGTTGATGCCACAATTTCCTGTATGAGTAAGTGACACAAAATATCTTTGGTCATTTGTTGTAACTTTAATCTTTTTCACTTTCGTGCATAGTCTCTGATATAAAAAATACTCTTTTTCACTTCCACCTTCAACCTGACAGACAATAAACCAATACGGCTGATAAATGGGACTAATCGGTGTTCTGGTCGAGTAGAAGTCTACTATGAAGGACAGTGGGGAACCATTTGTGATGACAAATGGGGGATGCAGGAAGCAGAGGTAACATGCCGAGAGATGAACTGTGGCGCTGCTCTTGCTGTAAAGTACAAGGCCTTCTATGGAAGAGGTCACGATCAGGTTTGGTTGGATGACATTGAGTGTATCGGTCATGAGAAGTCCCTTTCCGACTGCCCCCATAAAGGGTTTGGAGAACACGACTGTGACCACAGTGAAGATGCTGGTGTTATGTGTTCAGGTAAAAGACAGCTCTTTTTGAAGCTCAAAAGTATGCAGGTTATACTCATTTAAAGCTTACACTTTTAACTGTTTGCCTTCCAGAGACGTTGAGACTGATCAATGGGACGGACAGGTGCTCTGGCAGAGTGGAGATCTTCCGAGATGGTCGCTGGGGGAAAATTTGCAATAATAATTGGGGTGTTAAAGAGGCTTTGGTTGTCTGTAAGGAACTCGGTTGTGGAAAGCCAAAGAAATCCCAAGATGTGTTCAGTTTTGGTGACAGTATATTACAAGGGTTTATAAGTCGATGCCCTGCTAATGTGAACAGTTTAAGCAACTGTACGCTTGAAGAGCATGCGGGCAGGTGTGACGGCGCTTCTGTTGCATGTACAGGTAAGACACAAAAGACTGTGTTGTTCTGTGAAAATGAACCTTTTTAAAAACAGCAAAAACAACATTTTCAGTATTTGTAGCACAAGCAAAGTGTTTATATGTTTTGGTTGACTTTCCCGATCAAATTTTTCCATGAGTGACTCCCTTCCTTGTGATCTCTGCATCTGCTACTTTAGTGACAAGGATGGAGAAGATTAGGAAATAAAATCATTAGAGGAACAGTACAGGTTGAATGCTTGAGAGATAAAGTTAGAGAGGCCAGACTGAAATGGATTCTACAAGTCCGGAGGAGAGAAAATGGGAATACTGGTATAAGAATGTTAGAAGTGCAGTTGCCAAGAAAAAGACAAACAAGAAGGCCAAAGAAGATATTATGGATCCAGTTAAAGAGGACATGGAGTTACTTGTAGTGGAAGGCAGAGTGAGAAGGAGGATGATTCGTTGAGGGGACCCCTGAAGAGGGATTAGTCAGAAGACTATAAACTCAAATGAACATTGATTTTTAAGGAAGCATGTTTTCGTCACGCCAAGCAAACTTGTTGCAACATGGTTGCATTGAACTTACCATAAACCTTGATTGTTATTTAAATAACACCTCAGTTTTATTTGCAATTTTCTTTTCCTTGACTTTAGGTACAGTAAACATGATTTGTTCTCAGGTAATCCACCAATTAGACTTGTCAACGGCACGGACCGATGCTCTGGCAGAGTGGAGATTCTGCACGATGGCCAGTGGGGAACAGTGTGCGATGATGAGTGGGACATGAAAGATGCTCAGGTGGTGTGCAGAGACATGGACTGTGGAACCGCTAAGTCGACCAAAACTGCAGGCTTCTTTGGCTCGGGCCAAGGAAGCATCTGGCTAGATGATGTCAATTGCATCGGCAATGAGACATCTCTTTTGCACTGCCGGCGACCTCCCTTTGGAGAAAACAACTGTGGCCATGGTGAAGATGCTGGAGTAATTTGTTCAGGTACCTGTTTTAATTATTTACCCAACAGTACTGTATGTCAGGCAGACTATCAAACAAAATAGAAGTTTTTCTCTGTATCCAAGAACCAATTACTGATTCTCTCCCTTTTTTTTATAGCTAACCTCAGACTGATTAATAGCACCGACCAGTGCTCAGGCAGGATTGAAATCTATCACAATGAACATTGGTCACCAGCATTCAGTGTAAACTTTGGAACATCAGAAGCTGCTGTGGTGTGCAGGGAGATGAACTGTGGAGACCCAGTCAAGTTTTCTGGATCTTTTGCTCAAAGTAAAGACCTCAGAGGCCTGAAGATGAGTTGTACTGGTAGAGAGAGCTCAGTCTTACAGTGTACGCTGAGAGACTACACTAGGACCAGCAATGATCAGGTTGTAGATGCATCTGTTAAATGTTCTGGTAAGTATTTTGCACTTTTGCTAAAATCAGTAGTGTTCTTTTACCTTCCCAATTATAAAAAAACTGGGATGCTGTGTAAAATGTAAATAATTGTAAAAAGTAATGGTTTACAAATCTCATAAACCCTTGTTTAAACCTAACACTCCCACTGCTCCAAAATTGGGGTCAAGATATTTTTATATTCTTTTTGGAGCATATTTTTCAAATCGTTCAGTTGTCTCTATTTTCTATTACGTTTTTTTAAGTAATACGTATTTGCGACAAAACTGCCAAATAAGTTCTGGACTCAATTTGATCATCTCTGGCTCCAACATGTAAGGCTGTATGGATAATTCTTCTGTTTTTGACAACTTTTAAATATTTTGTAAAAAAAAAACTGCATAGCTACATAATCAGAGTGGACCAGTCTGGAAGCTGGAGGGGAGCGGGGTGTGAATGGCCTGGATTTAAAGAGACAACGTCAAAACGAGCGGCTTTGAGACATCCCTCAGAAAAGGGGTGAAAGAGGGGCTTGTGGAATTACAATAAGAAGGCATTCAGACCAAAGGATTGCACTTCCATTTTATATAGACCAACTAAATGTGAAAAATAAGAATGCTTTAAAAGCACATGTCCCCTATAAAAGGTATCTAATAAGTAAATGGCAATTTAGTTCTTACATCTAAGGAATTATTTTCTGTCATTTCCAGGAAATGTGAAGTTAGCTGATGGGCCCCATCGTTGTGCTGGAAGAGTGGAGTTTTACGATAAAGGCCAGTGGGGGACAGTCTGCGGTGAATCCTGGGACATCAATGATGCTTCTGTAGTGTGCATGCAGCTGGACTGTGGAAAGGCTCATAAGATCACCACAATGTCTGAGTATGGCCGTGGCACTGGACAGACCTGGATTGAACAAATTGAATGCAATGGAAGGGAGTCTACCCTCTCTCAGTGCCCACAAAGACCATACGTGGGCAGATCCTGCAACACAAGCTCTGTAGCTGGAGTTGTTTGCACAGGTGAGATAAGAAACAGACCAAAAACAAAGGCTTAATTCCAGTTGTAGGTAATTTTAATTTTAACACCTCTGCAATGCAGGTAAAGACTCATTTACCTTTACATTCTGAAAATTTTATCCAATAGATGTATTGTACATTAAACATAAAACTATTGCTTCAATTAAATATTTGTATTCATGTTGCTACATTTTAGCTTACTTGTCTCCACAGGAAGCTTGGTGGCCCGGTTGGCCAACGGCAAGGACGAGTGCTCCGGTAGAGTAGAGGTTCGTCACGGTGAAACGTGGCAAACTGTTTGCGATGCAGGCTGGACCCAAAGTAAAGCTGAGACGGTGTGCAAGTTGCTGGAGTGTGGCCATGCTCTGACCACACCCGGAGTTGCCCAGTTTGGCCAGGGCAATGGGTCGGTGGTGGAGACGAGTGATTCATGCTTCGTCAATGTGACTTCTCTCGAGCAGTGCTCAAAAACAGGTTTCAGTGCGTCGACGTGTGGGCACGAACGTGACGCTGCAGCTGTCTGCGCAGGTAAAGCTGGGAAAATTAATATCATCTTACCTCAACATACGTACAATGATGTCTATCCATAGTTTAGTGGTCGTTAAACTGGAATTAAGACAAAACCACATAAATGTTGAATAGATTAAATGTGAGGAGAAGAGGACCATACAACCCAGATCTGGTTAATGAGTGAGCCTTTATTGCTTACACTGAAGCAACCAGAGCAACGCTGCCTGAAACCGGAAGTTCCGTTCTATAATATACAGGGATCTTCAGTGCCTGGTACGCCCCCTACAGGCCAATGGCTGAATCGCAGACACTCTGACCAGCAGTGCTCATCTAATGTTTTTATTAACGGTTTATTATGTGTTGTCAAGGTGTTTCGGGCATGTACCTAAAACTATTTTAATCAGGACATTACAATAGGCAAACCATAGACTATAAAAGTCAAGCCTAAAAAAGGAAACTAAGACAAATGGTGTGGTGCTTTAAATCAGTATCTAACTAAAAATTTCCTTCAGTTTGATGGATATATTAAAGAGATTGTTCAGTCTTTTTAAAGTAAAGTTCTTTGGAAAGTTTATTAACATTTTACTTATCGTTAGTTTTTGAAGACAGCTTGGAGAAATGATTTAATTCCGACTTAAATAACAATTCAATTTGATAGATAATCTAAGTGGAGTTTAAAAATTCATTAGCTTGTCTGTTCAGTCCAAACAAATCACTCTTTCTCCAAACTGAGGTCCTTGAAAAAGCTGTTTACAACAGGTATTATGTTGATGGTTTATGAACTTTCTTCACAACTCCTATTCAAAATACCTGCAGCACTCTTTTAATATAAGCAAGTAATAATGAGAAATACAGGTCTAAATTTTGTTTTGGTCTGGCAGGTTTCTGTTGTTTTATCCATCCATCCATCTGTCCATTTTTTAACCACTTCACCTTTAAAGGTGGGGTAGTAAGGTTTTATATTGTCAAGAATTTGGTGATGTGATACATACCATGACAAAGGGGTGTGAGGATATGTGTTCTGTTGTCTTGTGTTACCTCCCTCTTGTGTTCTCTCATTGTCATTATGCCTTCATCTCCTCAGCTGTTTTTCTGTCATTTCCTCCTCTGTCTCACACACCTGTCAGTAGTTTCTAATTACTATCTTCTCAGCTGTTGTTCATCTCCTCATTCCCTCTGTTTGTATTTATTCTGGCTCAGTTCTTCACCCTCACTGGTTCATTGTTTTGGCTATGTCCTACTGTTTGGTTTCCCTTGTTTTTTTCATGTGTCTTGTCTTCAGAGTTTTGCAAGTTTGCTGCAATGTCAGCTTTTTATTTTATTTTTGTTAAATAAATATCTTGCTTTTAAAAACTCCTCTCCTTTATCTGGACCTGGGTTCATTCCTCCTGCAAACCTGACAAGGGGTCATGATATGATATCAATATATTGCAATTTTTGTCCAAAAATTCTAAAATTTCAGTAGGTTTTTTATGTATTTTGTGTTTTATATTTCTTATTTCATCCATGTTTTCAATAGTTAAGCCAAATGTGCCATTGAATGGTGAAAATACAGTTGTGGCCGTGTTTAGATTTGTAGTAATAATTTATCACAAAATATGATCAGCCATCACACTAACAGCTTATATCTTGTGCTGAAGTTCAGTAAATGGATTAAATGTAGCTGCTACAGTCTGTGTTACTGTCATGGGCATTTTAGTGCACACAATGTTTCATATGACACTTGATCACTTCAGTCATCCCTCTGGGACCCCCTTCAGCTAGGGGCACTAGACAAATGCCTACTGGCTCTGATTTTTGAACGATCAGACGGTCTTAAAACAAACAGGTATCTGCGGCCATTTCACTGAAAATATGAAAGAATCTTTAATTTTTTTTGCCATTTTTCCCCTAACTTTCCAGAATATATAGCCTATGTGTTTTTAATTCTGTCTCCTGCTCCATCCATTGCATTTGTATTAATCCCAATGTTTGTCTTCACATGCAGCCCAGCTGCGGCTGGTCGGCGGCTCGGGACAGTGCTCTGGCAGAGTGGAGGTCTTATATAAAGGCCAGTGGGGCACCGTATGTGATGACGACTGGGAAATGAGCAATGCTGACGTGGTCTGTAGACAACTTGGTTGTGGTCATGCAGTCCTTGCACCAACTAGTGCCCATTTTGGAAGAGGTTCTGGTCCAATATGGTTGGATAATGTGGTGTGTAAAGGCCAAGAAGCTGCTCTCACTCACTGTACGCATCGAGGATTTGGAGAAAACAACTGTGGGCATGGTGAAGATGCCGGTGTAATCTGTTTAGGTAAGAGATCTAGCTCGTTTTCACTATGTGAACAATCAATTTCCCACTGCCTACACTGTTAAAGTTCTACCAATCTGTTTCAGGTGATCTACAGAAGCCCCAAATTACTTTTAGTCCCTCTGCTCAGGTACAATGGGGTGAAAAAGTTGAAATCACCTGCACCGTCGCAACTGAACACTTGGGTGGGACATTTGTGCTGAAAAGGATCCAAGGATCATTTCAAATGGAAAAGTTCTCTGAGAACGAAGCTGCAACATTTGTTTTTCCAAAGGCAGACTTCAGTCTGAATGGGTCGTACTTCTGCGAATATAAAAAAAAATTGCCTGAACAACAAGCCATCAATTATCCTCAAGGAAACATGGCTGAACTCTCAGTCATAGGTAAAAACAAAAAGCCTTGTTGGTCCGTTTTTGTAGTAGACTCTGGTTGCTGTCACATTTGTAAAATGTACAACTCTTCCTCCGCCTTGCAGTAAAGTTAGAGAAGCCCAGCATCTCACTAACATCTGGTCACTCCATGGTGGTCTACAGCCCCGTGAAGGTATCAGTCACCAGAGGAAGCGCCTTCTCCATCTCTTGCTCCGTCCACTCCGTGTACCCTGAGGGGGTTTTCTATTTGACAAAGTCGAAGAAGAACATGACTGTAGCAAAACCATCGTTTGGCCACACCATCTTCTACGTGACATACTTTGAATTCCCTGAAATAGATTTGATAGACGAGGGAGAGTACGCCTGCATTTATGGAGTGAACATTTCCTCACAAACCTTTTGTTCTCTTCCCTCCAAGTCACTGTATGTCAGTGTAATTGGTGAGACCAGAGAAGAATATATTAATCTTTTTTTGTTTGTTTATTTGTGGGAGTTTGATATTTCTCTTATACTTTACCTTTTACTCCCTACAGCATCTTCATCCTCTGCAGTTGTTGCAGGAGTTACGTGCGTTTTAGTATTGCTGCTGCTTCTCTTGGCTGTTGGGTTATGGGTCTTGAGAAAGAAATGGCGAGGTTCTGGTAAGAATTCACATTTGAATGTTGATCTGTGAACATGAAAGACTCTCAGCTACTACCACACCAAAAATTACCCTCAATATTAAGTGAGTCATAGCCATTTTTGTGTTGGCTTGAACCCTACAGTTCATCAGTTGCAGTTGGACAAATAATGATTAATTTCTAAAAGTTTACTCAAATTTGTTTAGTGGTTCTTGAAATATTTTGCTAACATATAAACACATTCCATAGTAGCGGTTGAGTGAGTTGAGATTATTTGCTGTAATTGCTAGTCCATAGTGTTATTAAATATTTCAGCTATCTTTGGAAAATAAATGAACTAAAATTTGTTCTCATTTTTCAGGTTTTATTGTTCAGTTTAGCAGCAAGTTTCAGGAACTGAGAAAAACCCCGGATGAAAGGAGCAACGGAGTTGTGGATGAAAAGTAAAGTTTTTTTTATCATTTTTTCCTATTTAAATTGTTTATCAGTCTCAAGCCACATTTGGTTTTGTCATCTTAAATATTTTAAATGTTCCTGTTGGTGTCCACGTTTCCTAGAAATCAAGTTCCTGTCATTATTGTGTAATTGCTGATTCAGCATTTACGTCAGCGTTTCCCACATTTTTTTTTTTTTCGGAAAATTTTTTTGCAATCTAATTGTTTTTGCATACTTAGTGCTTTTTTCTGTTCTTATATCAAAATGTTTGCTCATTGAAGAGATGAGTGCCGACTAACTTTTATACATTTCCATACTTTATTTACAAGTTTTTAAAAGTGTTTTTTAAATTTCCATTAAAAAAAACACATCAAACTCACTGCAAACACAATCAAATTCAATCTACAAACCTTTTAAGCAAATCAGATAATCTATGACAATCAGTTCTGCTAAAATGTTTCTCCACTCTTTATATGTTCACACATAGACTACTGCATCACAACCTGGTCAATCACTGGAGACAGCTTTTAAAACAAATAGAAATTTTATTCAAAAAATCTTTAAAAAAAATCTTTGCTCAAAAGCCCCAGTCATTCCATCAGTGTAACATTTTAGAAAAATATAATGTGCTCAATTTTGACAGTTTTATCAGTTTTAAAAACAGTTGTTTAATTTACAAAGTTCTTAATGGATTAGCTCCACCTTCACTCTCTACCTACAGTAAACCAAAAACTGACAGAGGTTTTAGCACCAGAGTCTCCTCCAGAGGAGATCTAGAGATCCCATACAGGAAAACAACCTTTGGACAAACTGTCCTGTCAGTCAGAGGAGGACACTTTTGGAACTGTCTCCCAACAAATATAAGGGAATGTCCCAATTATTACACATTTAAAAAGCATCTTATTGTTTTATTTGGATCCCCATTAGCTTCCACGGTTGCTAGTCTTCCTGGGGTCCATAAAATCAAAATACAAATAAACAGTGTGTTGCACTTGTTCATTACTCATCTTTATAATGAACCACACATCCTTTTCACCATGTTACTTCTGTTCTATTTATTATCAACACAAGTTCAGCTTCTTCTCCAGAACAGCGTTACATGAAGAAACTCATTATCACCCCTAGTGGACAACAGTAGAATAACATGCACAAACATAGTGTCATAGAAAGTGACGTGACATACAGAACTTGCAGCTGTGTTTATCTATTGTCTACAACTTCAGAGTATGAACACATAATAATAATAATAATAATAATAATAATAATAATAATAATAATAATAATAATAATAATAATAATAATAATCCAGTATGAGAACACATTCCAACACAGTTGCTTAAAAGTTCTCAATTGTGTAATCATTGAATAATTTAATTGTTGTAACGTCATTTGTCGGAATATTTTCTGGATTTTGTTTGATATTGTATGTTGTGATCTTGAGTTGTGTTTTTCCTGAACACCTTGTGTTGTTTTGTCTTTCTGCCTCAGGACTACAGATGTAAATTAGCAACTGTGCTATATTCTGGCTCATTTACTGTCTGTACAGAAGTATAAGATTGTTCATTAATGTCCACTGTCCTGATTGATTGATTAAATAAATACATAAATAAATAAATAAATAAATAAATAAAATTTCTCCCATAAAAATACAATGATTTGATACATTAATTTCCTTAAACATTTTTTCTTTCAAATCTGCTTCTGCAAACTTGCTCAGTTTTTGTCTTCTTGTGTTACTTTTAGCTGCTACATTTAGTTAGCAGGCCTTTTTCTATTTTCTTTTGTTTTATTTTATTTTTTGCTTTTAGATCCAGCTCTGCTACTTTTAGTTAAAATTCTGTTACTTCAAGTGCTTACAGTGTAGCCTTTTGCTTCTTTTTGCTTAGACATTAAACTGGTTGGATGTGTTGTCTTTATTCTAATGATCTCCCTCCTAATATCCCCATAGGGAACGTACCAACCAGCTGTATGAAGATGAACTCCACAGCAGTGACCCAAAAGCATCGAACACCAGTCTTGATTCGGAGAAGGTTGCAGAGGGAGTCCCTGAAGACCTGGCAGGACGAGTGTGTTACGAGTTGGAACCCTTGGTCGACTCGTGATGCCAACACGACTCAAGCAGCAGCTTCTGTTGAGGGATTTTATTTCACTTCCAACATGACAGCAATCTAATAGGCAGCATTTTACTTAAACTTTTTTTAACAAAATAATTTGTAATCGTTTGCATTTCTAAAGATGATTGCTGTGTAATTTGCTTCAAAAGAGATTTTAATGTTTCCAGAATTAAAACAACAAATACGATATCACAGATAAGATGTTTTTCATTCATATGCCGCTGATGGTTTGTAAAAATCAGAGATTCTGTAAATGATATTGCTAAACTTAAGGAATCTATAAAAAACAAGATCATTTGTTTTTGTTGTTGTATTGATCAATAAATGTGTCTTTCTTACAACTCAAAGCATTATTTTTTTCAAATGTTTTACATTCTGAGATTACATCTGAATGATCATTGAAAAGAACAAGATAATTCATTAAACATATAATTTCCAGGAAGCTTCCAGCTGTCAGAACATGACGAGTGTATCATGGGAAGGGTAGCAAACAGTGAGAAAGTACCCGATATCAGCCCAGTTCTGGCCCACACAAAGCACTAACAGATACAGTAAAGAATGATGGCGCTTTATGTGGCCCAGAGGTGGTTTGCCAGAGGCGGTCCTCCCTGCATGGGCCAGCAGCGCCGTATAAACCAAACCGCAGTTGGATCAGTTGTGGCATGTCAACTTAAAAACAGTGTAGTGTAGTCATTGCCAGACCTGGCCCACATCCGGTTGACTTCAGTTGAAAGGGTTTGGTTTTCGATTGGCTTTATTGCAAATTGGATACGAATTAGTATGCTTGTAAAGAGCTTTATGCGATATGAACTCTTGAACAAGAAGAGGAAAAGTAGAATGTTGCATCATTTGCATCGTTCAGCCATTCACTGATTTCACCTTAGAATTTAACATTTAATTGTTTGCAGAAACACCCGCATTTTTGGCAGTAACCACAAAAATTCTCCACAATTTTTGTTTCCATTTTTTTCGTAACAATACGTTATTTTTCATAAATATTTCCTCTGCTTTTCTGTGTAATCTTTATTTTCATCGCACTATGTTCATTCATCATCATTATCACCGGTGTTTAAGCCACCACTAACATTTCGCTAATGTGCGCACAGCAACAAGCTTAAACTATTGGTGGAAGAAAAACTATTGGCCAAAGCAAAAAGTGGAGCGGACAAACCCCGAAGCCCTCCATGATTTCTTCAAATTGTCATTTAAAATGTTTGCGTAGCTTTTGGACGCGGAAGAAAATTCCTTGAATGTACAAATGTACTTAGGAATAACTATGTTTTTTTTTTTTACCACATCCAACATTCAAATTTTTTCTAAATTTGAAAGTGCACTGAGAATGTTACCCCTCGCAAATTTTAGGGGGGTCTACTGTCCTAAAGTCTATACAAGTGTGCTTCAGTGATTGAACAGGGGAGGCCGGGGACAGTAGCAACACGTCATTTTTCTCCAAACAGAAACAAGCTCGAGTGATGACACTCACACTGTACACGCTCAGACGCCCCACCTTGCAAAGAAAGAGTAAGCAGATTCAAAAACTTCTCCAGGATTTATTTGAAGAAAATTTGTTTTTGAGGAACCAAAGTATTATTATTTTTTGCCGAGCTTTATTTTTGTTATACTGTTGTCCCTGTTTTTGTGATCCAGCTCAAACTCATATGGTTTAAACAAGTGATATGTTGACTTTTAACTAATATAGTTAACATGTATCCAGATCAGCTCATTTAGCTAACACATGAGGTTTTATCATGGCTGACAGGAAGGGGGACAGTTGCAACAGTTGTTGAAACTGTCCCCATATGATAAATCCATATAAAAACAGCAAATACAGGTGATGTTAAGATGTTTAAATTGAGTTTACACTTAAAAGGGTATTGTGCATTCATGACAATTTTATAGTTTAAAACATAAAAGTGTTTAAGATGTATTTTCTGCAGTTGTTGTTTTCAAAAATGGTTTTAAAATCCCAGTTTCTTTCAATGTAAATGTTGCATAATGTAGGCGTACAGTGACAACAGGCTAAACAAAAGCTATGCCTCACAAATTGTTCTGTTATCCTTGTCCCTAAAAGTCAACTGTATTTTCTATCAGTTGGAGTCTTTGACATCTGTATATAAGGTCTACTCATCAAGGCAAATCTATATTCATCATTTGATCAAAAAGAATAAATAAATAACACTGTAATATCATTATAACTTTTAGTTTTTACTAATTTAGCAATAATATAAATATAAAAATAATAAAACTTTTATTTACAGTGAAATATATTGTATTAATAACATGCTACTGCAACTGTCCCCAAGCCCGGGGTCAATTGCAACATCCGACTTTTCATTTTCAAATGCAAATTGTGAAGAGTGTACATGCTTTAATCACCTATAAATGGTTTTGACTATTAACAGACAGATGTAAGTTTATTGTATTAAAATTTGGTTTGTCTAATTCAAACCGTCTCTGAGGAACAGAGTCAAACGCAAAACAGTGTTGCAACTGTCCCCGGTCTCCCCTACTGTGGAAATAATGTTTGTTTGTGTTCAACACTTGACAAAGACGTGTCTTGACTGGAAGAATCAGGTGGGTGTGTCCGTGCAGGCAGCTAAACTTTGTCCAAACCTGCTCACCTTGTCTGCTGATTCAGTTGACTCACATACCTTCATACGGGATACCGGAACCTTGCAGGCTGTCTACTTCTCTATTTTACTTCTCTGTTTTTTTTTTCCCCCGTAACAAACCCAAGTCAGCGCATCTGAATTTGTGAGCTTCTGTTCAAACAGCAGACATGTCAGTGATTCTGTATTATGCCAGCGTGAGCAGTTCTGTGGAGGTACAGTATCGTGTTTTTCTTCTCTTCTAGTTACAAACAAAAGCCATCACCAGGCAGTTAATGTACTTTAATATGACTGTATGTGGATTTATTGAATAACTGCTGATAATCTAAAGTTTCACTGACTGACTGTGATGTTTGACAAAGCAAAACTTCTCTTTCTTGGCAGCTGAAAAAGAAACAAGAGAGGATCATGTCCGTCCTGACATCTAAGAAAATTTCCTATAAAGCCGTGGACATTACTCAGAATGCTCAGGACAAGGACTTAATGAGGAAGAAGGCAGGCAACCCGGCTGCAATGCCTCCACAAATCTGCAATGGGGACGTTTACTGTGGAGTAAGTTTTACCTGCTGATCAGTGTGTGGAGCTCTGCTGTCACTTGATTTTACTCAAAATTTAACATGCAGCTTACATGCTTTTGCTGCTTATGGAATTCAGGAAGAAGCCCTGTGGTTTAGGGTGTGGACAGAGGGATTAAATAAATATTTACGGTACGAACCAGTCTTGGTGCGGATTAGGGAAGTGCTACAAAAGCTGACACATAACCTGCAGACGTGAAGATCATTTCATTAGACAAAACATGGTGTGAGTACGCCAACAGCAGTGGCTAGGAAAGTGGATTCTTGGTGGATGATCATAAACAGTGAAGAATTCACAGAGTATTGCACAGTAGTTCAGTTGTGTTGCATTTAGGTCATTGTGACCAAATTGAAAGTATTTTTCCCCTATGTGCACTTTTAATCTGCAATGCTTAATGTTGCTTCTGGAGTTATGGTGTCTTCCTGGCTGCGTGACCTTCTTACCTCAGCAGCATCTTCACCAGCTCTTTTGGTTTTGTTTTGGAGTGGAGACGCACATTTTACACCTAAACATGTTCATGTCTTGAACAGAATCCGTATGATGGGAGGACGGTGGACAGTTCTGTCCCTGATATATTGGCTGATTTCTTTTCATTTTCCCCATGTTGTTGTCACACAAACACACTGCAAAAACTGTCCATCTTACCAAGTTTTAAAATCTTACATCAGCCAAAACGTCTTTTTGATCTCGTTTTGGGACTGATTTACTAAACAAAGACCGATTGTGTAAGAATAATCATCTTGTTTTCAGAATGTGTAAGATTATTTGTCTTGTTAGCCTGAAAATTTGACTCAAATTAAGTCAAAATTTTCTGCCAATGGAGTAAGAAAATTTTACTTGGTAAGATTCTTGAAATACTTTATTTGACTCATTTTTTTCTTATTTCAAGAATCTTACCAAGTAAAGTTTTCTTACTCCATTGGCAGAAATTTTTGACTTAATTTGAGTTATATTTTCAGACTAACAAGACAAATAATCTTACACATTCTGAAAACAAGATTATTATTCTTACACAATCAGTCTTTGTTTAGTAAATCAGTCTCAAAACAAGATCAAAAAGACTTTTTGGCTGGATATGATTTTAAAACTTGGTCAGGTGGACATTTTTTGCAGTGCATGCAGTGTGATTGTTTCAAAGTACGTTGAAATATATAAACTGTGACAGAAAAAAATAATCTATCGGGCAAATTATGTAAAAATTGATATTTTTAAGCTTTATGTTGTGTTATAATATTATTACTTCATCAAAAACATACCCAGTATGTTGCTTTGACTCGTTCATGCGCCATGCAACGCTCCTACGAAAGGTTGTAAATGGCATGAAGAATTGTTTGAAAACGTGCTGAAGTGGGAGTGTCAGAAACGGCAGGAGGTTCGTAATAAAACAGAGGCCAATTTCAAGGCGTTTAGACAGGCTGTGATGTCAAGTTAATTTTATACTTTTTTATAACAACTGATGGTAACATAGTTTCTTCACTGTGGTAAACAATCAAACTATGTGTCTGCTGTTACAATCTGAAGGGAATAGAGACGTTCATGAAACCTGAGTTTAGAACGTGTTTGAAAGAACGGTGCACCTCGATCCAAGGAGTGAGGTTGTGGAATAATTTGGAAGATGGTGTTAAAAGTGAGAATGATAAAGACAAGTTTGTTAAAAAGATATAAATGAAATGGATTGATATGTAGCCATTTGTTGTTCTAGAAAGATTCAGTGTTTTGTTTTGTTAATTGAAGACTATTATAGTTTGAATTTATACTTGAGAAAAAAAGGGGCAAATAATATGAAATGGGTTAATTTGTAGCCATTCAATTTTTTTGTTTTGGAAAGATTCAATGTTTTGTTTTGTTAACTGAAGACTATTATAGTTTGAATNATGTAGCCATTCAATTTGATTCATTTGTTTTGTTTTGTTAACTGAAGATTATTATAGTTTGAATTTCTACCTGAGGAAGAAGGGGCAGATATAAGTTTTTTTTCTTCTCTCTGCTGCCTTTCATTTAATTTTATTTGTATTTTGTTTTTTTATTGCACATATAACTTTGTTTTTATGGAATGAATGAAGTTTGAAATCAAATCAAATCAAAAAATTACCAAACACTCCCACTTTAAACAAAAATCTCTCCTACTTGGATGTTTAGCAAATAGAAGTAATTTTGGTCAATATAAGGGACCTGAAACTGATTTCAGGTCAGACAGTGAGAAAAACTAGTTCTGTCTTTTTCATACAGTTTAGGTAAACATCTGGCTTCAGCTGTAGTAAGATATGCTGTTTCTTAAATGAAACATTTAAAATGACTAACAAAAATTGTTTAAATCTTCTCATTTTTTCTTTCTTGCAGGACTTTGAAGCGTTTGAAAATGCAATCGAGTGCGAAGAGTTGGAGAAATTCCTCAAACTCTGAAGGAAATGTTGGATGTAGGACTCTTGATGTTATCCTGACGGGCTGAACAAACAAATCAATAAAAAAATATCAATTTGTGTTTGAATTGTGATTCTGTTTGTGTGACGAGGGATTCTTTAGTCGTGTTTGATCAAAGAAGAAAAACAAAAGATACGTCAGCGTGGATGTCTATGGTAAATTAATACGTTTACACTATTTAAAATTTTGACTCCACAAACATTTTAACGCTTTTTGTCATAGGGGAAAATAAAATCACACACCTTTTAACAAAATCTCAAGAAAATTAAGAATCAAGATGAGAAGAAAATAACAGCATTTGGAAACACAAAAGTCTATACACGTGTGCTTTGGCTGTAATGTTGTGTGTGAATGTTGACACTTAACAAAGTCATGCCATGACTGGAATAGCAGTCAGACAGGTGGGTGTGTCCATGCATTTGACTCACATACATACCTTCATGCAGGATACTGGAACTTTGCAGGCCGTCTACTTTTCTATTTTACTTCTCTGTTTTTGTACCAATTAACTCTCATGAGTGTTTGTGTGCTTCTATTTAAACAGTAGGCTTATCAGTGATTGTGTAGTATGTCAGTGTTTCTACAAACACAAACATCAGGCATAATAAACTGAGTGAACTTTAACATGATTTTAAAGCTGGCCATGATTAATATATACCTTAAATTCATAGTTTATGTTATTTTGACAGTAACAACAAATATGCATCTTTAAACTAGTTGATTTGTTCAATTTAAAAAGCTTTTTGTCAATGTTTTTTGTGTGTCAGTGAAAGCTTCTCGGATAAATTTTGATAAATGTTAAAACAAGATACATGATAAGCACAATGTTCATTGTTTTCTTCTATAATTTTTTAGATAAAATGTTTGTTGTTAATGTATGTAAACAAACGCTGTAATTATTTCGTCCAAACGGAACCAAATGAAAACTACAACAGGCACCGCGCAGGACGCCTCAGTGCGGCGCAGATGGGTCCTGTCGGTAATAAACCTCTGTCGCTGAAATGTGACGTCCTCTTTCCCCGCTACCTGAGAGGAGGACAGGGTGCGTTTCTTCGATTCTCGGCACAATCTGCTCTATTTATCAAGCATCCTATTTTCTAAACTCATCATATCGTGTTGTTTGAGATGGACAATAACTCTTTTGTTGCAAATTTACTTTATTACAGAACTTTAAGTCCGACATCCATCCCAAATCTACAATGGCCGAGGAAGGGTGAGCATGACGCTAGTTTTCGACTTGCATTTGTTTACTGTCAGTTTTGAGTGAATGTTACTATTTTAGTTACATGGGCTACTTGGATATGATTTATGAAAAACGACGTTTATTGTATTTTAAACCACCGCAAAATGCTAATCGCTAAGAGGCTAGTTGAAATCTTGGTTCCTAATTATTCTAAATGTGTCTTTAAAGCAACTTGTGCAGTGTTTCAGCACAATGCAAAGAGTGACAAGATTTCAAATCCGACTAGACGTTTTTAGCTATTACTTGACTACATTAAAATATATATATTGCTTGATCTTTGGATCTAATAAATCAACTAAGTTTGCAGTTAAACAGCACAAAGGCAAAAAAAACTTTGTGGTGAGTTGAGTGATAAATGCACATTTTATTATTCGTCATCACAATCAAGGCGTCAAGGTCAGATAGTCCTGTAGATTGACCAAATGTATTATTAGCAGGCAGGACGTGAATGCATGCTTTGATTTATTGCAGTTTTTTGTAATTCTGATATTGCACCATATTTTTTATTGGATATCTGAACGAAAAGATAATAATTATTTAGCAATATAAATTGTTTGCCGTTAGTCAATTAACAAGCAAGTGTTTTTTTTTCTTTACTTTGTACTTAACTATGTAAGTTTAGTCTCCCTGCAGAACACACACTTCAGATTTTATTTGATGGCTGTAAATAAAACAAAGGCTACTCCTTGTTTTTCCACTTTCAGTTTATCATATTAGTTTAAGATGCTGAAACTCAAATCTTGACGTTTCCCTCTGCATGAGCTCTGCTGAATGATGATTCCCATTTTGTCGGATACCCCTTCACTCTCCAATGAGTGATATGCTATTTCTGACATGCCAGAAGCTCAGTAGAACACCATCAAACTTACCGTGGCTGCTGTGCAAAAGTTGGAGCTGATTTTTCTCTGGTTTTGACAGCATCGCTGCCGGAGGTGTGATGGATGTGAACACCGCTCTCCCTGAAGTGCTCAAGACCGCACTCATCCACGACGGCCTTGCCCGTGGCATCCGCGAGGCTGCCAAGGCTCTGGACAAGTAAGTTAGTTATGCACTTATTGGCTTGGTTTTTGTTACTGATGTAGATTTTGAGACTTCTGCACAGTTCATATGTTGCTAATTTTAATTTATTGTCATATTTTGATGGAGTCCAAATTCTGTCCTGCTCTAAAATTCTTTTTTTTTTTTTTCTTTCCCCCAGACGTCAGGCCCATCTCTGCGTCCTGGCTGCCAACTGTGATGAGCCCATGTACGTCAAGCTGGTGGAGGCCCTCTGCGCTGAGCATCAGATCAACCTAATCAAGGTAAACAAAACCACCACCATGATTTAGAGTGTTTATTCTGTTGGCTAAGTCTTTGCTAAAGCCATGTTAAATTGGGAACCTGTAGTGGTTCTGTGTTGTACTCCTGCATCGCTGATGATAACTTGGCTCCCTCTACTGAACTCTGTGAGGATAATGCCATTGTTACCCAATTTTTGTCTGAGATACAGACCAGTACACACAGCTTGTATTTCATCAGTGCTCACTTTAAACAGATTGTGGTGAGACTTCGCTCTAATGTACAAGAATCCATACTTGTTTGAAGTGGGTGGTTGTTAGCTGTATTTATATTGGCAGGTTTTCTTAAAATGCTCTTTTATTTTTATGCAAACTTGGATTCCAGGTTGACGACAACAAGAAGCTCGGGGAGTGGGTCGGCCTGTGCAAGATCGATCGTGAAGGAAAACCCCGGAAGGTGGTGGGCTGCAGCTGCGTTGTCGTTAAGGTAAATAACACACAAGGTTATGTTTTCATTTCTAACTTTGAAACTTTAAAGTCTTAAACCTGTCCAGTTCAGGTTGCATCTTGATTTTTGTCAGTTTATTTCAATTTCTTTTTACACTTTGGTTCATGTTGTAGTTTCGTTTGAAGATTAAGATATTGAGCTGAAACAAAAGTCCCAGCATGCAGCAGCAGTGTTAAACCAACCTGACTTTCACTCAGAATCTGTTTGCTTTGCTCTTAAAACTGGTTTGTTGGATTGAATTCAGTGCAATGCTTTAATGCACAATTGACTTGTTACTATGCAGGTCTTAAATTTAACCAACAGAAATCCTGTCAAATTAAAAAATTAACTGCTTAAATTTTTAGTACATACAGTAGAGATGTGGATAAATTTTTAATCCTACACCATTATTAAATCTGACAGCGGATTCCAAAAGAACATTTCAAACCTTACAAAATAACACACAATCCTGTGATTATCTGAAGTCTGAGGGAAGTTATTGATGTTTGTTTAGGTGAAATCAGCTCATGTTTTCTTGCTGCAGTTCACAGCAGAACCAATGTGACCATTTCACCTGCTGTTTTCTAATTTCGCTCATAACTTCCTCAGTGTTCAAGATATCGCCATGAAATTTTAGGAAAAGATTCCCATTCTGGTTTTGTAGGAAGCATCTTGTGTCCTAAAAAACTAATAAAACTTAATATTAGCCGATTCAAAAGTAGCAGAAAAGGTATAAAATAACATTACAAGGCAAACTGTAGCATCAAATCAACTTAATGTGTCTTAGAAAGTAAGGAAATTAAAACAGTTTAAAAACCATGTGGACATCTGTTTTTGTAAACAAAGCCAGCGTGTTAAATGTGTCAGGTGACGAAGACGAGCATCAAAACACTTTGCAACAAGCGCTGTTCCGGATAAAAAAAACATAGTTCGACGTTTCAAATTTGGAAGAAGGGCAGATAAAATAATGTTCTTCATGGCAGCTTATCTCTTTAAGGGCTCACTAGAAAAACTCGGGTGATTTACTTTGATCGTCTTTTCAAAAAACTGTCTCTTCAAAACGCATCAACAAAAATTAAAAACTTGAAGTCGAGGCTGTAGCTAACTACCTGACGGCAGCCTGATTTGTTGAAATTCGTAGAAATAATGAAACGGGAGGAAATTACAAGCAAACACACCGAGCAGCCTTGCAAAATCTGGTCACAGCAGTTGCTGACGACATGTCAACATCCCTACATACAGGGTTCCTGCAGATCCTTAAAAAGCATTAAAAGGCATTGAATTGATCAATCCAAAAATAAGGCCTTAATTAGCCTTAAAATGTTAAATCAAACTTTAAGAGATTTTAATAAACAATTGTAGCTGAGTAGGATTATTGTAATTCATCTCAAATTTTAAAATAATTTGTAACATTTATATAGTTTTTAAAAATACTTTACTGAATGCCTCTCAGAGGCATTCAGTAAAGTATTTTGTTAAAGTTAAACAAAATTTTGTTTCGGTAAAGTAAACATTTGGGTAAAATTGTCACTTAAGTTATTTTTTTTTTGGTTTTGTCCTGATGCATCTCATCTTAATGTTTTCTTGATTTTTTTTTTTTCGTATTTTTTGTGAAGTTCTTAAAATAAATTTCAAGTAGCATTAAAGAGGTCTTAAAAAGTCTTAAATTGAACTTGTTTTAAGCTGTAAGAACCCTGACAGACAATACAGAAACTGTTTGCCGTTCAGTACACAATTTTCACCCCTTTGATCCTAATTTTTCGTGCAAATAAAAAATATTTTTTTTTTTTTTTTTTTTTGCTGTCTACAGGATTACGGCAAAGAATCTCAAGCCAAGGATGTGATTGAAGAATACTTCAAAGCCAAGAAATGAGATGTCAATAAAACGTGGAAATAAAGTCGTCTCAGTTTCTCTTTATCTAAAAATCCCACTAACATCCTTCACTTAGCTCATTCTATTAGTGTATCATTAAAATGCAGTATTCATTAAAGTGTGATGCACTTAAAAAAACACAGATCACAGAGGAAGATTGCTAAAATTTTATTTCCTTGACAAAAGGAACAAAAAAACTTCACTTTCCTTTAAGTTTATTGGAAATAATTTAGAGTTTCTTAAACCACAGTCTGCATTGAGTTAACCACCAGGAAGAAAACCCTAAAAAAAAAAGTTCCAGTTGACGTTCGTCTGTACACAGATGCCTTCAGAGTAATGCTTTGGTGAGGTGGTCCTTGTGAAAGTCTTCATCTTTCATGTTCTGGTTTAGCTGTGGACAGTAGACCAGGTTTTTAGAGGTTTCTTCGTCTCATCCAGACTGGGAGGGTGCATCAAGTCCAGGAACTCCCAACCCTAAAGACCTTAACCTCTTTTAAGACCATTAAGAGTTTGTAAATCCAGACATTCAAAAAGATAAAAAAAAAAAAAAAAATCAGTTGCAGTTTATTTTTTCGTTTTGTTCTTAAATAGTTGTACAAAAGAAGAGGGCTGTTTCCATGGTATCATTGCATAAGTCCATGTTTCTACCATCCTTACAGGTATTCAAACTCCAGTGCTTGGTGTAACGCCAGCAAGTCTGAGTGGCTGGATATCCTCCAGAAGGGCATGTTGTGCTGTGAAGTGGGGACACCATTAAAACCAAAGTGTTAATCACCACCTAAACCCATGCAAGTTGCACCACTACAGTAGCCTGAAGCTGCTAGCACTGCAAACAAAACCCATGCAGTCAAACATCTGAAAGCACTTTGGGAAATATGCAGTTGTGGCTCTTGCATCACTGATTTCATTTTTTTTAAACAATGCATCTATTACTATAGAAATTTTACATTTTTAAATGCCTGCACTGGTGTTTAAAGGATCTGGAAATGTTTAATTTATGCTGACAATTCAGGCAGGTAATAGGTATGAATTTGGCCACGCCCCTTTAAAAAAACTTTAATATTTTGTGACTATTTACTCTCAACACTGCTGTGGCCATGTAACTGAACTGGGTTGATTGATTCATGCTGAAACTTGCCACCAATGGAGGTGAAAAAGCATTAAATTACATTAGAACTGGTACAAAGTACAACAAAATTGGTCTGGTGCACAAGATACTGTAATGACTGAAATGAGTGACTCTGCTAAATTAAGTTTATTTGAATCAGGTGTGCAGTGGGTCATTAGAAACAGGGTTGATAGCTTTAAATGAATGAGCTCCCTCTTCTGGATTGATTCTCACAGGTTGAGGTCATCAGGTTGTTGGTGGCATCCCTGGATTTTTTTCATTAACTTTCAAGCCAAAACCAAATAAGTTATTTCCCAAAATGCCTTGTCTGGTTAAACCCAACACCATCACATCTGAAATTCAACCCAAAGCTGAAAAGGAAAAGAATCAGATTCTGAAGAAAACACATCAGATTACAACAGATAAAAACTGATTTCTCACAATAAACTAAACAGTATTCTTAACAAATGAGCGCTCAAAGCTTGGTTACTGGGTACACTTAGATCTTAGTAAATCTGATTAGGATTGAATGTTAGAAACGAGCCAATCTCAATTTTGAAATGTCAATGAAGCTTTAAAAGCTTAAGATAATTCCGTTTTAAGTGCAAAAACCACGCAATAAGCCAAGCCAAGATTGGAGCTCAGCAGCTGCAGTTAAGTATCCCATCACATTAAACAAACAAACAAAAACAAGTTTAAAAGCCAGTCGACCAGAGGAAGTCAAAGACCAAACACAAAAACTGCTGCAGGTTTCGTCCAATCAGAGCTCACGCTGCGCAGAGTAGGCGGGGTCACCATAAAGCTTTCTTGGGGGTCCATTACCTTTTTGGCCGCCTGTTCCTCTTCCACACCGTCCCCAATTACAACATACACTACTTTCCTGCCAAACCTTTGCATTATGCGCTCAAAGCAACTCTCTTTCCCTGCAAAAAACAAATAAACAAGGGGAGGAAGGAGGGTCACATGGTCAGAGGGGTCAAGGTTCACAGGTCGTTTGTTTACCTGGCTGGCGGCATGCTCTTCATCCTTCCCATCGCCAATCACAACATATGTAATGTTAGTGCCAAAGCGGGAGACTATACGCTCAAAACAGCTCTCTTTGCCTGGAGACAAACACACGGCTTTTCACACGTTTTTCTTTTTGTTTGATAATCAAATGAAATGAGACACAGGAAAACGTGGAGCTGGGGCCATCATGGAAACACACAAAATATTTATTATTTCTCCTTTTTAACCAACTTATTTATATCACTGCAATGGTTATTTTCAAAAAAAAAAAAAAAAAAAAGTGTTTTCAAAGCTAAACTCATTACTGAGACTGAAACCAAACGGAATATTCCGTTAGCAATAATGTTTGGCACCAAACGATTTGATTATGATTCAGGAAGCTGCGATTTGAAGGTCAAATGATCATCGATGCATTTTTGTACACGTCTGTTACGTGCACCTCATAAATCAGGGCTTTTCAACTAAATTTCTCCAGGGGCCACAGTTACTGCCGTTCAACAGCTGAGGGGCCGAACATCCAGCTATTAAAGTTATTATGTAAATAAACCAAGTATTACAAAGATCTGTTACCTTTGAATTAGTTTATTTTGCTGCATGTAATCATGATTACAACATACAGAACCCTATAAAAGTAGTGATAATTACACATTATCAAAAAGAAAAAGAACACATTCTGCCTCATATAAAGGGCTCGACACACGGGAGGCGACAATCGCTTGCCCTCCTCCAGCTAAGCGACCGGCAAAAATAGTGCATGTGAAATTTCACGCTCGTACACGTACACGTGCACACGCGAGCTTGCGACGTGACATATGAAAGTTGAAAAATGTTCAACTTTTGTCGCTGTCGCTTAGCGTACAACCAATCAGCGAGGGTTTCATTGACTGACCAATGAGCGGAGAGTATGCTACACACTGCCGTTAGCTAACACTTTCACCAAGGGATTACTAAAAAGCTTTGTGGGAATTTATTGGCACCAGGGTGAAGTTTATGATAAGTTTTTCCTCATAAAACTGTATCTTGATGTGTGTTTGTTTTTCAATATCATTAGCATCGCAAGATTTGTTTAGTTTACACGTCCGTAATGCACACCCCCCTTCAGAGTCAAGAACCAATCAAATTTTGTGAAGACAAGCGACCTGAGAGCGCGATTCGCAACGCTGCGATCGCTATCGCGTCCCGTGTGTCGGGGTTTCACCCTGGCTGCGATGACAGCCGCTAATTGCTGTAGTTTGTCGCTGCCCGTGTGTCGAGCCCTTTAGACACAAATAATATTTTAACATCTCTAACTTGCCAAAACGTTTAAACCAATTTTATTTTCACTTTCATCGTTTTATCATCAACTGCTTGTAGTTTTAACTCTGAGTGTTTATAGAAATGGTTTTTACCAGCTTCTAGCCAAGATGCTGACGTTTCTTTAGATACCAAACATGTCTATGTTGAACTAAAAGAACTTAAGAGTAATTAAAGTAGAAAACAGGGGTTTGGGCTTAAGAGATGAATAAACCAATAGGCGGGCCGAACTTTGGTCACTTGCGGGCCACATCCGTCCCGCGGCCTGCCAGTTGAATAGCCCTGTCATAAGTTGTCTGGGTTCTGCACGTCCATCTTTAGCTTTCCTCTGCATTACAGTATAAAAATTGCCGTTAACAAAACAGATTTTTAATGTTTTGCAAGGAGAGCTGTCCAAGATGCAAAAAAGGAAGCCCAACTCCACACAGTCCCAGCTGATGTGACGCTCAGGTTTTGTCCGGTGCAAAATACAAAGGGGTTTCATTCCATTCAGTTTGTTATCAACTCATGAAATGTGTTTGTGTGTTGGTGTGTGTTTGTCTGATTCTTACCTATTTTGGTTGCACTGTAAATGTTCTCTATGGGGAAAACCGAGCCGAGGCTGTAGAGAAGAACTTTAGCCAGCGCCGGTATGAGCTGCGTCGTGGTCACCAGCACGTTTACGCAGTTACTCCTTCGGGAAAGACACGTAGAACAGGATATTTGATCTGAACATATAGACTCAGACTGTTGGAAGGGATCCGTAAGTCTCATCCACGACAGAAGAGAAGGTGCAGTCTGTGGGAGTTTGAAATGAAGCAACACCTGGAGCTGATGATAGAGAGCGACTTGAGGGCGTGGGTGAGCCAGGAATCTGTCAGAGCTTCCACCTCTGCTCTGAGCTGCAGCCAGGCGTCTCTTTTAGCAGGACCGAGCAGACCTGAGGCATGGAAACAGTTCCAAGGGGTCAGAACCGTGTGGATGAACTGAATTCTCTTAAACTTGTTAGATTTAGTTTACTCACACTGCAGGGATGTCCAAAGTGTGGCCCCTAAACTGATTTTGTGTGGCTCCTGATTTCAGTTCAAGAATTATACTAATGTGTTTACAAATTTGTCCCCCCCCCAGCACAGTTGTTTGATGTAGATGGAGACTTTCTCTTTATTATTAGGGCAAATTTACCTCAAAGTAAAATCTTATAATAAACAATATTGGCAACAATACCAATTATTTGTCTTTAAATAACCAGACTCAGCTTTTTTCCAAATCTATCCAGTGATTTCTACTCAAGCAATCTGCTTTTAATTAATTTATTAAATTGTCTGAATACAGCAAGCATTTTCAACAAAACAGTGACTTAAATCCTGATTTTATTGATCAGAATTGACTTAAATTGGGTTATTTTTTCCCCCCAATTGAAACCTAGAAAATTGCAAAATTTATTTCAATAAGGGAAACTTGATACACTTTTAAAGTTCTGGATATAGATTAATTTATGCATCCATTTCCAGCAATGAATCTGGCTATTTTATCTGTTTAATTAAAGTATTTAATGCTTAGTTTATTGTTGAGCAGGTAAAGGGAAAATATTTTTGGCCCTGAAGTCCTTCTGACTTTATGATTTTGGCCCACGTCACAAAACATTTGGACACCCCTGATGTAGTGAGATAAGTGTTTTTTTTAATAACACTAATCTCACAATCCAACAATAACAATAATACTTCAATATTAAAAAAATCTCCCTCTTATCAGACTCCATTTATATCGGCTTACCCCCAACATTGTTTTTGTAAGTGCTATATAACTCCTTGACCCGTCGGTAGCGGAAGGCCAGCTTCCTCATCCAGTCGACCCCGCCTCGGACCCCCGTAGCCAGGCACAAGTTGGCGCTGGTCGCAGCTGCATGGAAGCCATCAGTTGCAAAACTGTAAGTACTGTCGATAATAATAATGATACGTTTTATTTGTAAAGTCTGCTCTGGCGGAACAAAAAAGATGAATTCATATTATTAGTCGTCACGAGAACAACAGCCAGGGATGCACTGAGCCTTTTTTAAAAGCTAAATAATCACCTCAAGTCCTGGCCGTTGTCGTCTGATGAGACGTCATCAATGTGGACCTGATCACATTCCTGCAGTCACAAAGAAAGACAATTCGTTAAAGGAAAACACATCACCTGCAGCTGTTTTCATCAAACTCTGCAAAAAAAAAAAAAAACATCGAGCTACCAGCACACCGAATTTTAGCTCATGGACTGTAAATCTGACTGAGTTGTCACCACTTATGAGTCGGCTAAGATTGATTAGCTGTGGCGGCCATCTTGAATCGGATTGACTCCAAATACTAAGGAGTTCAAGTTTTACATCCAAGAGAGTTTCACTAAAATCTTTCCAGTGGTTCATGAAATATTTTGCTGACAGACAATGTTGACGTTAACAGTTAAAGCTAAAGTTAAAGCTAAAGATGCAGTGTAATGTGTAGCATTCAGAGCATGTTTTGGGAATGAAATATAAAGTTAAATAAAATTAGCTAAAATACAGCCATTTTTGTGCTTGCTAAGGTTGCTTAACTGCGACAGTCATCTTGAATTTAATTGATCCAAGTAGTTAATAAGCATTTGTACAGTCAATAAATACTTTCTGGGAGTTCATGAGATATTTTGCAGACATCACCAACAGTAAAATAGAAAAAAAAACAACAACACACACACAGGCAAAATAAAAACTATGTTGTTAAAAATCTAAACACAGTGCTGTTGTGTTTTTGTGCCACTGGAGGGCAGTAGAAGCATTTCAGTCATCCTGGGAAGCTTTTATTCCCCTCTCACCTCCAGGTCGTTGAAAAATAAGTGCGTGTCGGCCAAGTTGAAGATCATCTCCTCCATCCTCAGGCCGAGCGTCACCGCCATGGGAGGGTCCTGAGACAACAGGAAGGTCACTGGAAATCTGCCTCGTCTCAAAACCTTAAACACACGTTCCCGATTCACACCTCCACCCCCTCCTTACTGGCCGAATGGTACATTCCAGTCATGACAGCAGACACTGACAGACAACTTGCACTTGCTCTGTCCCATCTGCATTCCTAATGTTTGCAGGGGGGTGGGGGTCGTCTCCTGGTGTGTGTGTTGCAGAGAGCTGAGTGCATTTGGTATGTGAATGGTTTGTGTGTGTGTGTGTGTGTGTGTTTTGGGAGAGCGCAGCCTGCCCTGCCAGCCTGAGGCTCAGCTGCAAAAACCATCGTCTGTGATAGGTCAGCGGGGGTCGAGCGCTTTGCCGCACGATTCGCTGACACCGTCAGACAACTAGAACAGAAAGAAATGAACCGGAAGGCGAGCGAAATTTGGTGAGGGACGAACCGAAGGAGAGAAACATTAAAAAAAAATGTCTTTCTTGTAAGAGTAAGAAAAACATCAGTTTGCATTAAAATGCATCCTCTTGTGTGTTTACAAATTTGAAATGTAAGGCCAAACAATCCTTAAAGAAACGCAAACTGCTGCCACTTTTACCCGATGCCACAAGACCTAGCGTGATTCTCAGAATACCTGCCGGGGATGACTCTCAGCTACTACCGCACCAAATTTCAATCTAGTGTCTGTAGAAACGACAGAGTTATTACCATTCTTGTGTTTTTTTAAGTTTGATCAGCTGTGACTGCCTTCTTGAATTAAGCTGACTCCAAAACTTAATCAGTTGTAGATGTACAACCAGTGATTACTTCCTGAGAGCTGCATTAAAATCCATCCAGTGGTTATTGAGATATTTTGCTAACAGACTGACAATTTTACAAACACAGGGACACTTACAAAATTTCCCTAATTTCACAGCGGCGAGTGATAATTAGGTTTTAAACAATCCAGGTGACACTTCTGTCTCATTTGTAGGAAGAGGACAACTTTCTACTGAAATCACACACAAAAAAAAATATCATAGTATTTAAATACGCAAAAACACTGATACCCAGTTCGTGACCAGTTTTATATTTTCCATGAGACTCATTTTGTTCATTGGCAACAAAAATATTTTATATTCCAGCATGCAGAGACAAAAACATGCCCTGGACTGCAACTCAAACCAAAAACGCACGTTGTGAAATAATTCTCGCTAATTGTTTCTCTACAGTAAACACAAGACAAACCAAGCTAACTCACTGACTGCGTGTTTCTGGCACACACACACACACACACACACACACACACACACACACACACACACACACACNCACACACACACACACACACACACACACACACACACACACACACAGAACAGTTTACCAAAGCTTTTCTTCTATCCAGTAAATCCAAACTGCCAAACGTTAAAATCCAAAAGCGTGGAGCAAAAAGCGAAGAACACCGGTGCCCACAAACCTCGTGTTTGTACCAAAGTCTAAGCTTTAAGGTTGTATGAACGTCTGGCTCTAAACTGCGTGTGTGCTTGTGTGTGTGTGTGCTATGCCAGCTTTTGTTCTTCTGCCAACCAGAACCAGAACATCAGAATGGATCACGGGTGAAAATCCCTACCCAGGCAGGCCGGTGGCCACAGGAAACGACATCACCCAAAAATCCAGATCAGAGCCAAGATCTATTAAAATTAAAAACGGAACTATAAACAGAGTACCTGCCTCGAGAGAAAGTTGGACCACCTGATAAGTTCAGAGAAAGCTGGAATAAACACCACTCCAATAAAGAAATTAGCGTATTCGGGTAATGATTAAACTAATGAAAGCACTGACAGTTACTAATAGCTACATTTAAAGCCTCGTTTTATAGACTGTGCAATCATAAATCGAGCGTAACGTTTCTGGAGTAGCTGATGTAATATAACGATCCACTGAGAGAAACAAAACTTGTGCACAGCGAGCGCTCTTTGTTTGTTGTTGATTTAAAGGAGGACTGAGGGGTTGATGAGGCGATTCAAGCATTTGTTAGGGCACTTCATTAATGTGCTACAATAATGACTGTACTGAATGTTTAGACAGGAAACGGTTTCTAATCAGAACAAATGTTTCGCTACATTTTTGTCTGAACTACAACCTTTTTTCCCATTTCTTTATTTTGGGGTGCTTGGGACGTGTATATCTTTCAAATACAAAAAGAAAAACATCTATATACTGTAGCCTCTTTCACAAAACAGTTACACTAAAAACCCCGCCCACTCAGGGGGGCATCGGAGGCGGGCTCACTTTACTTGCCTTTCTGCCCTCGTATTTTTTGAATGCTGGGAAGAGGACAGAACACGGATCAGTCCCATATCAGCCAAAGTGAAACAGGAAGTGACATCAAAGGAGAACCTTTTAAGAAAAGAATATTTTCTGATCTTTGTTTATTGAAACAATATTATTTGAACTTTGACTGATCTTCACCTCTCACTGATAAAGACTCAAAATAATCTAAAAAAAACCCCCCATCAGATTCTTCCTTACCGTCTGTGCTGTTAGTTATTGTAGCGATGCTCTATTTACACGCAGCTATCCCCCTTTGACATCACTTCCTGTTACTTCAAATGCAAATATCTCAACAGCTGTTCACAACTGAAACTTGATTTTTTTTACAATATGTTAATAATGTTATCTTAAATTTCTATTCTTGAATTTTAAGATTTTTCAGACAATTTTCAGTCCTAAGGAAATTCTCTTTGGAAAGGTCTGAACGATGGTGAGGGGTTCTACATACTCCAAATATGGTTAAAACTAAAAGTAAATAATGAAAAAACTGCACAGACAAATGAACTGCATGAATGGCATGTTTTAAAAGTTTATTTTTCTAAGTTTGTTAAACTACCACAAGCATTCATTTACCCACAAAACAGACCAAGTGACAGAAAATAGGTCAATGACAGCAATGACTGGAAGAGCTGTATAAATTGGACAATATGGATGTATTGGGAAATACTTGGGCTTAGATTTGTCGAGTAGAGCGCGCAGATAAAAACTCGGGTTAGACTGAAACGTTAAAACTTACTGGACTGGAAGAAGTTTGGTAAAAGCTGTGAGACTTCCTGCTTAACCCTCAATATTTAATCTTGTCAATGGCTTGTCCGATTCCAACATATTTGTTTACCTGCATGGACTACGGCCTAATTCACAACCATTTGCAAGCTTCCACATGTTTCTTTGGTGGATCCGGCTGAAATCTTTGTTTAATTTGAGTGCATACCTGAATTTCAGAACTGCATATCAGTTTATCTGGAAAACTACTGGAGTAAACCTTTTAAAACGGCACCGTTTGATAGATTAGATTAGAAATAAATATTCATTCTACTTGAATTAAAGGGCTTCTTGGATAAATGGAGGGATTGTGGTAAAGTTAGTTGTGGAAACAGAGTCATACCTTGCCATATTTCTGTGCATAGGAGCCTGTGAGCAGAGAGTGGAAGACAATGATGGTCTCATCCAGATCCCACACAAACACCCTCTGCAGAAAATAAAGAGAAATAAGTTGTGGTGCAGACAACGCCAAAAATTGTTTGTGGCACGATTTACCAAGAATGCAGAAACACGTTGGAATAAATGCACAGAAAGTCTGCGTGTATGGTCATCAAATGTTTTAATTTGAGCAACAACAGAGCAGAAGTCAATCAGAGAAGTCTGTCAAGTTGTGGCTGGCTCGTCAGCGCAGAGCAGCCGATAATATAACATCCTGTAACACGTTCACAACCAATCACAGTTCGCCAACTGTGAACCATCTAACCAATGACAGGGCTGTCAGCCCGGAAACACCTTACCAAAATAAAAGAGGTCTTGCATTGCTGAAGTTTTGAAGTCTACGGCAACAGATTAAAGCAGGCGAAACTAGTTGTCATAAGATATGAGTACCGGACAGCGTCAAGGTAAAACAGATATAAATAATTAGTCCATAACAAAGTCAAAAACAATTCCCCACTGTTCTGACATCTGCATTCATCGCTTTTCTTTTGTATATTGAAGCTACAGAGAGCAGGTTGAAAGAAAATCAGAAGGAATGTCCTAAACCCACTGAGATCGGAATCGATTATTTAGTCAGTACACTACGCTGTGTAAGAGCATGTTTTTCCCATTTTTTACCTCCAGGTCACTGTCCGGGGGAGGAGACGGGTTGTTTTTGCGGCTCCTGCCGCGAGACTTGGACCCCCCACTCCGGCAGGCTCTGTCGTCCAGCTCTTTGATGGGCGTGGAGGGGCTCTGCACTGTTTCAAAGTCCCCTGAGAGCGAATATAAACCACAAACGTGTTTTGAAACATTTCATATTTGGCAAAAAATCTGCCTGAGAGTGCACATGTAATCCAACTACATTCACTGCTTTGTAGAAAAAAAAAAAGAATATAATGATGTGGTCAGAGCTGATTCCACAGGTATTCTGTGTCCCCTTCAGGAAGAGCGATAACTCAGAAGTTTAACAGTAAGCAGACATATTGGCAAGGTTAATAATTCAAAGTAATTGACATGACAGATCATTTTAAACAAAAGCAGTGATGTTAATTTGACTGATTCATGATAATAAGGACATGTGAACATTCAGCAGGAGACAAAACTACTGAATAAATCACACAAGTTATGCAATCTGATGCAACAATACAATATTCTAAATGTCTGAGAAAGCAGACAAAAGACACAGACATTCCACACGAGCACACCCTCCCCTGTGCCATATGCTCCCACTGCTGCTCAGTAACTAGAACCAGACCGGGCTTCAGCTCTCATATTGTTACGTCTCAATCAGGGACTAAAAGGGAGCGGGTGCAGGAGTGACCCAAACAGCACGTGACTGAAGGAAATAAAAATACTGACTTGAACTGGATGAGTAATCGGTGAATGAGGAAGAAGCGAGAAAGGAAAAACGACAAATGATAAGTTACTCTAATCAGGCTTCCTGAATTACAGCCAAAATAAACCAAAGACAAACAAGAAAAATAAAACAAAAAACGTAGATTATAAATTCAGGTTTCTGGGCACAACATGAGTAGATTTCAGCTTCTCTTCGTTTGTCTCAGCCTTTTTCCTCTTCTTGACAAAAAAAATTCAAACTTGATTTATTAATCTCGGCCTGCTCTCCTAATTAGCATCTTTAATTTTACAATCTGAACTTACTTTCTTTGCGCAACGAGGAGGTGGGTAGGGTTTTACAGTTTCAGTAGCTGTTGTGTGTTGTTTTCACAAACCCCAATCCCGGTCCGTCTGTCTCTTTACGTAAATTTTGTAAACTTTTTGTTCATAAGCGGTGTGAGGGTTGCTGCAGTTATTTCATGATGTCAGAGGAAGATACATAAAAAAATATATTGTACCAGCTTGGAAAGTCAAGGTCAGTATATAACTTTTTATTTTTAAACTTCCCAAAACTTCATAAGCAGAGGGGGATCATTATATTAGTTTAAAATGGTCTCCTAACTTTTAATTGTTTATCGCAATAATTTTTGACAGTTTGACAGTTACCAAATCTGCCTTATTTTCCTAATGACAAAACAAGATTATAAAAGTGAAAAATGGGAATGCACTTTTATTTTGCACAAACCTGGGTGAAGTTCAGCAGCCTGTCCCGTCATGGCCGGGGTTGGATCCTGCAGCTGGTACGCTGCTGTGGAACCAGTGCCGTCCATGCTGTTGGAGGTCATATAAGTCCCGTATGTGGAGGCAGAGTAATACTGCGCATACTGGTTTTGGCCAAACGTTGTGTATGAGGGATATTCCTGGAGAAGACACAAACAAGCTGTGAGAACACAAGACGGCGGGGGAGAAGGCCATGCTTCATGTCTGTACTTTAGAGCATTGAAAGAATTAAAGGGGCAATATCATGTAAAATCAACTTTTTTGAATTTTATATCATGTTATAATGTTATACTCTCATAAAAAACATGCCCAAAGCCTTGCTTTGACTCATTCATGCATGTTTGAGAAATCCTGCAGCATTTTTAGGAAGCCATGCTGAGGAGCAAAACGACAGGTGGGGACCAGAAACGCCTTTTGGGACCAGAAATGCCCCTGGGACGTGTCTTTAAGCCGAACTTCCTCATGGCAGAGCACACCCCCTCCTCCCCTCCCCGCACACCCTGCCCATGACTCCTGCAGGCTCTCGGTGGAAGTGAAAGTGAAACTTAACTGTCTGCTGAGCTCTAAACTAGTTCTCACTCAGTGAAGCTCTTTTCAGATTCAAAATACCTTTGAGGAAATGTATTTTCAGATGCCAAGTAAACTGCATCATAGCGCACGCTCTGTCATGTGCGCAGCTGACGGCGGACCCCCCCCGCGGGTACGACTTGTACGGATTTTTAGCAAAATTTACGGATTTTTGAGGCTTTTTATACAGTTTAACATCCGAAGAGGTTGATAAGGATGGCAGAAGGAGGTTCTTAAAGAGACAGAGGCCAATTTCAAGGCGTTTAGAAGAGGAAGTGATGAGAAGAGAAGTTTATTTTCTACTTAAACAAATAAACAGCATTTTAATAACAGCTAAAGGTGACATACATACTTATTATGGTACAGTATTTAAATATATGCCTGAGAAACATAATATTGGCCCTTTAAAGGCTTATTCTGATGGCTTTTACAAGAGTCAGAAGACATTAATGCTTTTTTATGACTCAGCTCTCTAAACATATTACTTCATTTCTGAAAGATTTTAAAAGCTGGAGCAAACCACATTCATGAACAGTTGGTGTAGGGGGAAAAAAGAGCTGCATTTAAGCTTCCCCTTTCTGTCAGTCACAGTTCCATCATATTAGTCTGTAACTTGTTTTTTTTTTATTCAGTAAAACCTTCTCAAACTCATGATCATGATTAATTCTTACCCAACCATTAACATAAACTCAACCCCCCGAAATCACTATAAGCTTAGAAGTGGATATATGATGCTAATTAGCTTTTTGTCCCCATAACACAAGCAGTCCCAGGAGTGTAACAAACCCTTCACATACCAAACACACACATCATAATCCCCTTTATCTCCCCACGAAGGCCAAACCTTGACTTTCTTCATATAAACAGCCACATCTATCAGACAGAAATTGAAATCCCCTTTCTAAGTATTTTCCACCACAACACGATCCATCACAAGGACTTGGATAAATATTCAAAACACTCTTTCACCATGACAAAAAGTTTCTTTTGCATTTTTTTCATGCTCAAGGTCCTAGTGTTATAGGGTTTTATGTTTTTTGTTGTTCTGAAAAGAGGAAGTTGCCTGGCAATGTTGCACTAATTGTTCTGAAATACTCTTGCACCTTAAAGAAAATCAATAGTGCTGAGCAAAGACTAAAATATTTAATCACGATTAACCTCAAGATATTTTATTAGATTGATCGCGATTAATCTCATTACTATGCACAGAAATAAATGATGACTCAAAGATGTTTAGAGCATTATTAAGGGATTGTTTTATATAGAGAAGGTTCAATTCATTTTCAAAAACTTTAAAGCAAAGCAAGCCTGGCTTAATTTCATTTGTCTATTTTTCCCCCACAGTAGGCAATTAGTATCAACTGTGTTTTGAACTTAAGAGATATTTTGAATTCTTCTGGTAAGACAGTTTAGCGTTGCACGGCTTACAGATAACTTTATTTCTGTACAGCCCATCGTCAGGAAAAGTTTTAAAATAAAAAACGCTCATGGAAAAGTTTGGTGCCTTCCACCATAAGGCTGCGAGGGATCAGACAGGTTTACCTGTACTTTATAGGTCAACAATAAAACTTTGGGGAAGCAACAAGTCCAGAAGGGAAACTCAGACATCCCATTCCCCAGTGACAAACTCCAGCTCCTCCAGGACGATCCCAGTGTGTTCCCAGGCCATAGAGGACATGTAATCCCTAGAGTCTCTTTCCATTGGGACATGCCTGGAAAACCTCCAGGAGGTATTCTAATCAGATGTTTGAACCACCTCAGCTGACTCCTTTGGATACAGAGGAACAGCAGCTACACTCCAAGTTCCCCCAAACGACCCCCGAGTCCGGCTAACCTACGAAGAAAGGCCCATTTCATCTGCTTGTATATGACATCTTGTTCTTTTGGTCATGACTTCATGACCAGGTGGTGGTTGGAACATGGACCAGTAAAATCAATAGTTTCGCCTTCAGCTTAGCTCCTTTTCCCATCACCACAGACCGGAACAACGCTCTCATTACTGTGGACGAGGCCCCAATACCCGAACGCCTCCACTTGGATCCTCTCTTAATTCTTTAAGTGAATGCTTGAGGTTTAAAGCGATGCAAACACGGTTCCAGTACCTGCTGTGTGGCAGTGTAGTTGGCAGGGTTGGACACAGAGTTGTTGGTGGCGTAGAGGCCTGAGGAAGCAGTGAAACTAGAACCTTTAAAGAGAAGAAAACAGAAACAAACAATAAGTAAGTGTAAATCATATCACAGTAAAACATTTTAAGAGTTGAAAAGGACGATAAAAAACAGTCTATTTGGGTTTAATGACCTGGCATTTGGTAGGGGGAGTAGGCAGTCTGTCCAGGCTGAGGTGTGGTGAAACCGGAGCTGTAGCTGAGCCCGGTCTGTAGTGGAGACTGACTCTGAGTTAAGCTGTTCTCTGTCTTAATCCCTGGAAGCATCACACCCAGGTCTATGTCAAAAAGAACAAGAACTTTTGAGCTACAACAACAAAAATCCATAATGCGTTTTGCTGAAATATACACAAAATTTGACATAATTGGTTTTGAAATAAAGCAGCTGTGTCTCTTTTGGGGTGTGCTTATCGATACCGTAGTTGGACAGTCCGTAGGGCTGCCCTGTCTGTGAGTAGGCTGTATACATGGTGGACTGCTGCATGCTGCTGAACTGAGGCTGGCCAGCATACGTCGTCATGGGTAGTGCTGCCGGCGTGGAGAGGATGTGCGGGTAGGGCCTTGAGAATTACAGAGACGAGGTTTAGTGCCTGAAACTTTAAAATATACAGAGAAGATGATATCAGGAATGCTTCTTCGAAAGCGAACTTACTTTGACGGGTAGAGGGGAGGAGAGTACTGGTGAGCTGAACGAGGACTGTACCCGCTGCTGGTGATGACTAAAAACAAAGCAATAATCCGAAAAAAGAAATATTATAGATGGCGGTTTTTTTGTTTGTTTGTTTTGTTTTGTTTCACGTTACATTTATTAAACCATTCCTGAATGAAACAGGTCAAGGCCTCTGGGTTTGTTGTTAAAATGCCATTCCAGTAAACATAATCTGGAGTATTTCAAATGGAGGGAAGCCAAGTTCTATCTGCAGAGAGTCCATGAAACCCCTTAGAGCGGGCCTCACGAATGCCTTTTTGTGGTCATTGAGATGTCAGAGCTCAGTACCGACACACATCCTGCTGCTTTTAAACCCTCTCTCAAATGGTTTTGCGTATCAGTGCCTTTCCCCAGTATGAAGAAAGAGTAACAAATAAGAAAAACATAAAAATGTCTCATCTCTCTGCCAGCTGAGAAATTTGATGTGCTTTACCTGAGCCTGCATACGTCTCCAATGATGCGTCGCCTGTCGTGGTGACGGTTTCACTGTTGTTCAAAGGCTCGGTTTTCACTTCAAGTAAAACGGTAAACATCAGCGTTAGAGTATGACATCAACGTCTCTTCATCACAGAAACACAGTGAGGAAATTTCTCCAGATATAGAGCAGAAAAACTACCATGCAGTTCCAAAATTGTGAGCAGGGTTCCCATTTCAGTTGTGACTGAACTCCATAATCATAATTAAAGATATTAAGTGTATATTAGTTTTAAATAACCACAGCCAGACTGGAGTAAAACTATGACCTAAAGGTTCTAAGCTTGAAAATACCAAGGAGTAAAAAAAAAATGTAAAAAATAACAGGAAATTTGATGATTTAGTTTAAAAAACACACTCATGCACAACGAACCTCAGGCAAATTTCCCTTGATATTTACAGACTTCCTCTGAAAATGTGTAAAATTTGATACTCTGAAAAAATTGGGACCTTGCGAATGCCGTACGTAAGAAAAACCACACACACACACACACACACACACACACACACACACAC